CTACCGTCCTGCACTGTCGCGGTTCGAATTCCGCTGAGGGTGTTGATAAGACCAATGCGAGGTCGAAACTTCAGTCCACCCAGGAGTACATTACTTATATTCGGAGAATATAAGATGAAATTCAATAAAAAAGCTCGGCCTATTCGTATTGATGTGGGGAAATTAAACTATCAATTCCTCATCACCTTATGCGACCTAGGCGGATTATATCTCGTAAATAGCCAATGTATTTATAGGATTAATGAAGACAATAATAGTGATAAGATCGGACAGCATATGCCAAGGATACCTTACCACAGTTCACGATAACAGCTAAATGCTCAGAAGATCTCTCGCAAAGACTGATGAAGCTAAGCTTCAGGTGTTCAACTCTATTATAAATAAAATCTTGTGCAGATACTACAGATAGGAAAACGTGTCGACTATTCAACAGGATGACAAGTACCTGCCCTCGTAGATGGTCTGGCATCCTTTAAAGCATTATATTCCTTTAACCTAACAAGCTCTTGCCAAAGTTTTGGCCGAAGTGATATATTCAGAGAAAGTATAAAACTAGCGCCGAAAAACGCTGAAGTATGGGTTCATATGCGTCTTATGTCTGAACAAAGAGGCTGGTCAGGCGTTATAATACCGACATTGTTAACCAGTTAATTTTTAATGATGGCGTTAGATGGAAGCACAATGTCTGGGCCAGATGGGCTACTATTAATAGTGACAAAAGTATTTCCCTCTTTCCTATATAGAGAGTTATTTTGAACATATAACCTATTTAAATCTCACTAATATTAATAGTAAAGTAAGTTAACTGCAACGAATAATGATGAATGTGAAGTTTAGTACAAAGAATCACAACATGCGGCATCTATTCTTTAGTATGAAGAGAAAAGTTTAAAGGTAAAAGAAGCTTATCAACTAGTGCATAACTTACATTTATGCACGAGAATGAAAAAGAAATGAGCAAGCAATACTTACTTGGCAGAGCAAAAAGGCGTGATATAAGGATGACATAACCATGACGGATTGCTATAAAAGGAAGACACAAAAAAAAACATCGTTTTAATGCATAAAGATAATACTCGCAAAGTAGTAATAAGAATCCAGGTCAAGAGTGAATTGGTATTAACGAAAAAGTAAATAAACAAAAAGAATCAACGACGAATTTTGAATGGTGGATAGCCAAAGTAGGACTAATTTGACTAACGCAAGACGCGCAGAGGTAATGAGCTATGAACTAACCTTTTGCTGCTCAGGAAAACCAGAAAGTAGCGCCTTAACAAGATCCGCGACGGACTTGACGAGAATAAAA